AGTTTTTCAAAACGAATGTCAAGTCAGTTAATCATTTCTCCTAGATGGGTGAGAAACTTGGCCAATGAGTCACGGAAAGGATTTTCAACAGGCAGCTGAAGACTTTAATCAACAACTGTCTTCAACAGCTGGCTCCATACTGAAGATCGAATGGCCGGCCAGCCGGTGACCCTAGAAAGACTTAGCAACGAGAAACTCATCAGTGGAACGAATCAGCGGAGAGCCTATTGCTGAAAAAATGTGTAAGAGGAAATGGAGATGGATTGGGCATACGCCACTGATAGGCCGTTGAATGACATGGCGCACCATTCAGTCTATTGCTCGAGTGGAATGTGGATGGGAAGTGATGAGTGTTTCGTCGGTGTGAGGGTGGCAACAGGGGGTCATGAGTTTGCATCTGTTGGATATCTCTAACTGAACCTTGTCAATTAAACTATCAGTTACAAAGAATACCTATCATCACCTCTTAAACATCCATCCAACTGAGCTACAAATTTCCTCAATTATTCAACCGATGATAACAACTCAGTATTCAGAAATCATATCGATTAAATATATCCCATCATAACTATAAACTGTTTTATTTCTAATAATATGAATGGTCATTAGACAGTAAATCTTCAACAAGTGTACATTCACACTGAACATTTAATATGACTGAAATTTATTTACGTCTCTACAGTCATAATAAATATTTTTTTATTTTATGTTAAAAATTTAATGCTTGAATAAAAATATTTTTGTAGAATTTTTTTGTAAATTGTTTTCATCTTTCTGTATTTTATCAACTGGAAAGTAAGTAATTCAGGCGTAATACTTTGGGGAAAAAAACATACACACATGCGTTTTGCTTTACGTTGTTTTAATGAATTAAAAACAAATAATTAGACCATTGATGCATTTTCAAATGAATCAGTCGGATAATCAACGAAGCAGTTAAATAATGCAACAGTTAAAATGTTAACTTATGCTTCATTTCATTGAGTGATGATGAAAATTATTGCATTATTAAAAAATATAGTGTGTAGACAAAATTGTTATATGAGTTGTCTAGATGTCTAATTACATGAGTAATATGAAGTATGTAAGACAGGCGTACAATAAAAGCGGCTGTCCACCGCTCCCGAGGTTTTTGATAATTCTATGACTAATGTCGAGTCATAATGAAGTCTTACTTGAATTTAATTAAAACACTGCAAACCGACAATTAAAACAGAACTTCAGCTGCAAATGATGCTCTCATTTGAAGTGGTTGAACAGATTTCTATATCAAAATGTGGATGGCAATTTTCTGGTGTTCTTTGAGCTTTAATCACCATCAATCTTGACAATCTCTTTCTTCACTTATTATTACTACTAGTATTCCCTTGGCTTCCAAGTGGAGTACAGGATTTCAGCAACACATCTCCATTTTGTCCTGGTCTCTGAAGTCGTCTTCATCTGGTCTTACGATCACCAGTAAGCATTTAATCTCCTCACACAATCTCCTTCATGTCATCCTCGGACTTGCGCCCAACTCGTCATCTGTCGTTTAGGTTCCACTCAAAGATATGCCTGGTGCGCGATGTCGCTCAACTTCCTCTACAACGTGTGTCCAATCCATCTCCATTTCATTCGGAATATTTGTTGAGCAATAAGTTGTTGGTTGGTTTGCTTCCAGAGTTTCTTGTTACTAATTCTTTCTGATCCGCCGGCTGGCTGGCCATTCGATATTCAGTAGGAAGCCGGCAATGGAGGCAGCTGTTGATAAAAGTCTGAAGTAGCCCATCAGAAATGCTTTCCATGACACATTAAGTTTGTCGCCTGTTTGAGCTAAGATCATGTATTCTGCACTTAATTCAGTAGGTTTTTATTTTCATGAGGACATTGAAGCCGTGAGAAATAAAGCCAGGTTCCCTAATTCTCATATTTAATTTCACTTGAAATTTTCTTATCTGGATGTGAATTGGCCAACGCTATAACATGTTGACTGGTTTTAATCCTACATTTTGAGAAATGTGATAAACCAAGGGTCTATTATTATTATTTGTTATTATTCCCTTGGGTTCCTAGTGGAACATAGGGCTTCAACTGCACGTCTCCACTTGCTTCTGTCTTCTGCTGTATTTTTCACTTGCATCCATGTTAGTCCATACTGTTTCAACCCTTCTTCACACGATCTCCTCCACGTCACCCTTGGACGTCCCACTCGTCGCTTCCCTTTCAGGTTCCACTCGAGCAATGGCCTGACGCGCAATGTCACCCAGCGGCCTCCTCAGCGAGTGTCCAATCCATCTCCACTTTCTCCTGCATATTTGTTGGGCGATTGGTTCTTGTTCTGTTTGTTCCCATAGTTTCTTGTTGGTGATTCTTTCCGGCCATCTGATCTTCAATATAGAACGAAGACAGTTGTTGTTGATAAAGGTCTGCAACAGGCTATTGGAAATATTCTTTGTGACCCGCCAAGTTTCTAATCCGTATCGAAGAACTGACTGACTTGACGTTTGTATTGAAAATCCGAATTTTGTTGTTGAGTGTTGCTGAGTGACGAAGATTTCCAGATTGGTTTCAGGTTGATCAATGTGTTTCTCGTCTTCCCGATTCTCGATTTGACATCCTCGTCCGTTTCTGCTGTAGTTGAGACAATGCTCCCTAGATAAGTGAAAGAAGTAACCTCTTTCAAATCCCTCGTGTTGATGGTGATTGGCGCTGGATGTTGCTTGCTGTTGTCGTTGTTGGTTGGTTATTTTCATAACCTCCGTCTTGTCTATGTTCACCTGGAGTCCTGTCTTTGCTGCTTCTTCGACCAGTTTGTCGGTTTTCGCTTGTAAGTCTTCGATTTTGTGTGACATCAAACAAACCAAGGGTTTATGTCTTCAAAAAATCAAGCAGTGGAGTGGAGGAAAAATTTAGTGCTCTATAGATTAAAATATTTCTTGAAATTTTGTTAATTCCTAATAATTGTGACCTTGTGAATCAAGTGACGAACTGAGATGATCGACTGCAAATTTTCACAGTATGCTAGGAACCCGTTAGTAGGGAATATTTCTGTCTTTGGTTTTAGCCACTTCCCTATTTCTTAAACCTGATATAATTTGTTATTATTCGTGTGCTTTGGTACCAGAAAATAATTTCTCAGCTGGACAATTTGTTTCTGATATCGATTAAATCACGATTATAGATAAACTAAATTTGTGTTTGCAGGAGAGAACACTTGTTTCCTTTTGACTCATAGAAAAGTGTTAGATTTGTCAGAAAGTGTCTCTTGTCAATTGAATTTTTGCACCAATTATAACAAAATTAAAGTGAATTTCTAAATAAGTGTTTTCTTAAAATGCTGATAAAATATTCCCAAGAGAAAAAGTGAATATACAGCAGGATCCCTAGGAGTTATATGGTAATCAGAATTATCAGGCCATGATAATTATCTCACTGAAAATGTAAATACCACAGTTTATACAAGCGTTTGACTGATCTCCTTAAACTTTAATTAAAGTCCAGCAGAAAGAAGCAGCATTCGCATTAAATCCAGTCTTGTGAAAAAATCTCTAGTTTAAAGAGGAAAAGCAGTGAATAACAAATTAATACAAGTCGAAGGAATGAAGAGCATCTATCAGATTCCTCCTCTTGAATTAACCCTTTCGCCTACAACTGCAGCATAAAAGTCGCAGAAGTTTGCTATCCAGTTAGCAGAATGAAACAAAGTAGTTCAACACAATTTCACAATTCTAACAGTCTATGATCTGATTATTTGTCTACTTAGCTTCGATTTTTACTGAATCTTTAAATGATTACACTTAAAGTTAACTGTGAACTAAAATTTTTGAATAACACTGTAATAAAAGTGAATTTTTTCGCGTGTTAATGCTACTCAAAGACTCCATTGAGGTTAAAATTTATTTTAATATATATAGTCATACAGTGTCATATAGTGATCATTGTTGATGACGTTTCGAGCACAATTTATTGATCATAATCATATCCAAGTATTGGTTTGTAGTGATTTGATTGATTGGTTACAGGATTTCATCATGAGCTGACATTGGTTAGAGAACCATTGGAAAACCTGGGAGTACTGGACAGCTGTTTTGTCCTAGTTTGGGACTCTTCAGCAGTACGCAACCACCGGGATTCGAACCCAGGACCTTCTGGTTACAAGGCGAGCTGGCTCGTATACCATTAAGCCACTGGGACCCGATCCAATGGCCCATGAATTCTAACTTCTGCCAATTCACGATATAGCGCAACCGCTAGCCAATGTCTTCGGCGAGTATTTGTCCTCACACCCGACCTGCTGCACCCTACTGGTCACGAATTCTCACTGGAACCCCAGGTAACTACCTACCTGAATAGGGCAAGTCACTAGTGAGCATCTCATTGATATCCAAGTATTGGTTTGTAGGGATTCGGCTGATTGGCGACTGGCCCTATTCAGGTAGGTAGTTACCTGGGGTTCTAGTGGGAAGTCGTGACCAGTAGGGTGCAGCAGGTCGGGTGTGAGGACAAATACTCACCGAAGACATTGGCTAGCGGTTGCGCTATATCGTGAATTGGCAGAAGTTAGAATTCATGGGCCATTGGATTGGGTCCCAGTGGCTTAATGGTATACGAGCCAGCTTGCCTTGTAACCAGAAGATCGTGGGTTCGAATCCCAGTGGTTGCGTACTGCTGAAGAGTCCCAAACTAGGACGAAACAGCTGTCCAGTACTCCCAGGTTTTCCAATGGTTCTCTAACCAATGTCAGCTCATGATGAAATCCTGTAACATAATCATATCGTTTTGCCTAAAGACTGTTTAAATTTAAAATGTATATGTTTCGTTTGTATTTGGAAGGTTTTTTAAATAAGAATGCATAACTACCTGAGGAATATAGCCTAAAACCTTAAGGTTTCAAGATCAACTCATTCAATTGCTTAGTAAAAATCCAGTATCCGATAATCTGAACTTTTAATTGACTCTGGAATTGAGAATTTATATATTACAGATGCAAGAAATATTGAATAGTAAGTAGTTAAACTCACTCTCATGAAATCAACACTTGAGTTGAGTTTATTTTCACGCTGAAAAAGTATAAGAAACTCCTCATCAGTTGGAAGCAGTTGAGCTAACTATTTTAGAAAATAAAAAGAAACAAAAGAAAAAAAGAGGAACAATGAGATATTAGACATGAGTAGTAGAGAATTAGAATGAATAATATCCAACAGAAATGCTTTACAAATTCAGTAGTGATAGATATGTTGATGGATATAATCCTTTCTAGCTGTCCAATTGATTTTACATTATCAAGGTGTTGAAAAGGGCAAATGTTGACGCGTGAGCCAGGTCTGTCAGTGACTTCAAATCATTTTCAAAAATTAAAAAATTAATTTCTTCCTTGAAGTACTGTGGATCTTTGTGTCAATTTCCCAGTAGTAATCCACCCAGCTAGCACTATGATAGATTGTAATATGGTATCATTTGATATAAAATAATCGGTATGAATTACTCATTAATTAAGATATTTCTTCTACTATTTTTCGCCTTGCTAATGATATTCTACACAACAATTTCTCAATCAGACAGTTCCTGAGACAGTGCACCAAAGATAAATTACCAAATATCGCCACATCATTGTGTGTATACAAGTTGAACTGGTCATGTGGTGGAGCTGGTTATATAGGTCAAACTCAGAGAAATTTATCTTTACGCGCTCCCAAACATGTTTGGCTTGGGAGAATGTGTAAGTAAATCAATGAATGGTGCCATTCCATTTCATCTAGTAGATAGTAAACACCACATCAAAATAGATGAGCCACTTACGGTTGTATATTGAGTATCAAACAATCTACATTAAGGCACACTATTACTTCTCGTAGCTACAGAGGAAGCTATAGAGATTAATCAGAAAAACCTGACCTATGTGTGTGCATACGAAGCATATTCATCCTATTTGTTTAACCTGGTCGACTATAGGGTCAGCAGGGACATAATTATCCGTTTTTTCATGTCATATTATGTCTTCTTATTCCTATTCACCTAGTTCACTTTACTCCATTATGACATGAATTATGTGTCAACCTTCTGTAATTTACACTAAGCTTATTATGTCTCTAGTATTCTATTACAGTTCACAATTTAACCTCTTTATTTTATCACTACACTTGATATCCGCCAGCCCTTGAACTTAAATTCAGTGTTCCCCATTTCTTTGCGTTTGTTTGTAGGTATTTTGTGGTAATCATTTTCTTCGCACACCATTAAATATAACTCACCCCTAACTCCAAATGAAACTTATATTCTTACAAGTTTCCGAATCGTAGATGGTACAAATTTCCTGGAATAATTCGACATTAGTCATTACAAATATGTGATAACTGTTTACACCTTTCTACTGGTACAAATGTCTACCAACAAGTTACCTGTAAAGGAACTGATTTCAATTCATGTAATTTTTTGACTATATATATTTTGATGTTAATTGGTGGATGGTGACTAGTAGTGGAATCTAGGATGTACATTTCGTCCTATTTGGGACTCGTTAACTGGATGTACCTGCATTCCGCAATGAGTGATGATGTTCCAACCAATTAACTTCCAATTACATGCCCAGACATCGTCGAAGCATCTGCACAAGAAGCTGACATGTCAACCTGAGACCGAACACTTCGGTCCAATCAATCGACGGGAAAATCTCAAATTGAAATATATATATTTATTTTTATGTTTAATAAAATCCGAAAAATTTTGCTGAAGAAGCTGTGGTGGTTACACAGCGCAACGTTCAAGAAAAATATTGTTTTGATTTTTCCTTAAACACTCTTGGAGTGTTTTAAATAATTTATGATGAAATTTATATCCCGTTGACTATAATTACATAAGTATGTCACCCAGTTGTCTATTCACACTTCATCTTATGTTCTGAACGACTGCACATTTTTTTGTATACATTGATTTGACTACAAACTGTCATTCCATATTATACATGTACAGAAATCATCTTCTGGAGCAGGTATAAAGTTTAGACCGGTCGCTATAACATCTCCTTTTTTAAACCTTCTTTAAAAGCTTTTAGTGACCCTAAGCAGTTTGCTTATAAGTGTGGAAGAAGTACATTAGATGCAGCCATTGTACTACACCACAATATTGTTTCCTGCCTTGATAAGGATGCTAAGTTCGTTCGAACAGCTTTTTTAGACTATACTGCAGCTTTCGACTCTGTTCCTAGGACACTTTTATTAGGAAAGATGATTTCAGCACAAACAGAGTCCTGGGCAACTAGATGGCTGTCTTCTTATTTTAAGGATAGGAAACAGCATACTGTTTTGGCTGGAAAACGCTCCACTTCTCAGCTAACTGAAAGTGGTGTGCCTCAAGGTGCAGTACTTTCTCCATTTCTTTTCTCTTTCTTTTTGCATGACCTTCCGAACTCACCCAAAGTTAACTTCATTAAGTATGCTGATGATCTGACCGTTTCTGTCCCTGTAGTTTCCACATCGGATTGTTCCCATATGAATGGCTTCTTAGCTGAAGTTAAGGATTGGTCTGGCTCAAATGGTCTTAAACTAAATCCAACTAAATGTAATACTGTTGATTTCAGCTTGAGAAGTGAAAAAGACATGCATGGATTGATCCAATCTCATGATTGTTGTAATATGGATGGTACCATGATAGAGAGTAAGTCAAGTGTTTCTTATCTTGGCATTAGTTTCTCTTCAAACCTTTGCTGATCGTCTCATATTCTTATAGTTTCTAAGAAAGTTTTCCGTCTGACTTATTACATAAAGAAGTTGAGGCACTCAGGTATAACCCAACCTCTTCTCATGCAATTTATTAATTCATGTGTTTTGCCCATTATTCTTTATTGTTCTCCATTATTCTTCCCTGGACTACTCAAGAAAGACCATATAATACTACGAAGAACATTGAAGGCTGTAAGTAGGGTCAGTGCTATCCCTTTGACTCAACTAACTGACACTGTTGTCAATAGGCATATGAATTCTTGTAAACACTTAGCTAAAGTTATCTTGTCTGCTAGTGAACATCCTCTTTATTCACAATTGTTTCCTTGTATCTCTTCGGGTAAGACCAGAAGAAATTTCATAAACATTTATGCTCGTACTACAAAATATAAAAATTCGACCGTACCATATTTGGCACGAGTATTGTGTGAAGAGACAAATATCGGGAAAGAACTTTTACAACTTTTAAATCATTAACTAAACTGTAAAATGTAATGATGCATATTAATGCATGTGTTATTTGTTATATTATTTATTTATTATTCACTATGACCTAGCAATGGTGTGATTTTGTTGGGGTTTTATTTTTTCCTATTAACTATCAATATTTTAACATTTTATACATTTATATAATTATAAACAGAGCTAAACCATTGCAATATGTAAAAGAAACGCTGAAAATTCCATGCTGTAAATTGTTATTGTTGTGGAATAAAGTGTTATTATTATTATTATACAGTTTCCTATGTAATTTCATAAACCTTTAATGGATATTTGTATTCTAGGATTCATGGATTTATAACTGTACAGCCTGAAGAAGAATTTATCGTAACCACAAGTGTTCGCTTAAAATCATCTTTTTTCCAATAACATTCCAATAACTCTAACTCTATTTTATTTTTGTTTTGCCTTTCTGTCAGTATGCCTGTGTGTTTGTCTTGTTACGTAACATTCTATTCAATTTTGACCTTCAAGTTTCTAAATCTACTTAATTGTTTGTCTGTTTAAGTTATAAATGTTACTTCACTATTCATCCCCACCCTCTTAAACTCTCCACCACAAGATGTGTAAATTTACTCTGTTCTCTGACCCTGACCCTGTAATATGCCTCTAACCAATCTGTGTTGTTTTCCAATAGAAATCTGAACTCTTACCCCTCTTATCTAATTCCACTATATATAATTAGTTGTTTTTGACACCGAATAACCTGTCTACCTACATCAAATTCTGGAATTATGTTCCTTATGCCTTCTATCTATAACTCAAAGTAATTATGAAAAAGTATGTTCCAAACCTTTTTAAACTTATAATTTGATTTTGTTTAGGATGTATGCAGTTGATGAGAATCCACGAAATAAAACGAGCTCGTATTATCCTGCAAACATGTTCATTCTCTCTCTCTTCAAACTAATAAAGGGAACCGGTTGCATGAAATAACATTCTACTCAAACATGAAATAATATTCACCAGATATGTCGGTAGTTGAATGACAGCATTCTCAACTAGACATGTGAGAAGTCAGGATTCAAATCCTAGTCGATGTACTCATAAGATCTCATCTAGCCGATAGTAAACTTGCAAAGGAGAGAAGGTTGAGCATGAGGCTATCTAATACTCACCCCGTAGAAAGAAAACAACACCACTGCTACTGATACATTTGAAAGTTTGAAACTCTTAATATATTTCATTGGGATAGCGATCAGTGAAAATCACCTACAAGGCAATTGAATCAAAATGGCTCATAGACATGTCTATTTTTAGTAAATCATTGGAAATCATTAGAAGTAAAAGTGGATAATTCATCACACAAACAAAGTCATTATTATAATTTTTTTGTTTGCATTTCATTTCCAATATACTCAACATTCAACTATTTCCTATGAAATCCTCATTTTTAAGTGTTGATAAAAAAAGTGTTATGCCTATTTTGCTTCTCTTTTGTCTACTTACCTCCATTAATAATGAAATTCACGTTGTCTTGATAATTTATCGACAAACTTTGTTAATAATGACTTTTCTAATTTCCTAATATATATTTTTTATATTATTAAAGCCTTGTTACTTTAGATAAAAATTGACTGCTATCGTTTCTTCAAATGTTGGTTTGTAGAGATTTCATTGGTTTCAGAGAGAACCACTGTAAAACCACCAGGGAGTACTGGTTAGCTGTTACATCCTAGTTTGAGACTCTTCATCAGCACGCACCTACCACTAGTCAGTGTCATCCGTGGTCGCGCTATATCGTGAATTGATAGAAGTTGATTTTCATGGGCTGGACACTGGATCAGGCCTCAGTGGCTTAATAGTCTACAAGATTGCTCGCCTTATAACCAGAGGGTCCTGGGTTTGAACTCAGATGGTTGCCTACTGATGAAAAGCCCCAGACTGGGACGAAACAGCTGTCCAGTGCTACCTGGTTTTCCAATAGTTCTGTAACTGATGTCACCTGATTATTATTGATTATATTATATTAGTTTATTCCACATTTTTTACTTGAGTCATAATTCATTGTTCTGTTCTACAGTTCATTAATCATCCAGGATCATAGTAAAGGTGAATAAATTTCATTACTGATCGTAACATTACGTCAGTATCAGTAATCAACAACGTTTTATATGATGGAGCATAGGGCTTCAATCAACGATATTTCAGTAACAGTGGCTATAATTTTACGTGGTGAGGTTGCTAGCTTCACACCCAGCCTTCCTGCCTTTTCGGGATGACTACTGAGCCAGAACCATGTGCTTGGCTGTCGAGCACTCTACATTTCAACCAGCAACGTATTTCAAAATATCGTCAAGTACTGGATAACTATTTCATCCGAATTTTGAACGACTGAACTTTTTTTCTAGTTGTCTGAAGTCTGATCCAAAAGAAACTCATCACAAGCTAGCGAAGTATCAAATAAGAAGTAAGTGAGACGTCATGATGCAATGAAGAAAGTTTTTCAAATTGTCTTCCATAGCCCATTTTGTATAATGGCAGCTGTTGTGTGACTTTGGATTTCAGGCTTACAGCTAACTAATTTTTCGTACTTCTGTTAGCCATACCAGTTTTGCTTTTTGTACTTTTATTGATGAATGACTGTGGATAACCATTCTGTTTCAAAGTGTTTCTGAAAGACTCAGGAAAGACTGTCTTTATTAGATATTCAGCTTTTGAGAAGAACTGATGGACGGATACATACACCAATTCACCGAAAATCGAAATTCAACGGACAGCAGACTAACTGCTACAACTTTTTTCCATTAAGTAGGCAAAGAGACCTTATCATATCTAATACTCACAAAAATCAGTTGCATACGCACAGAAGACACTAAGTGGGGAAGTGGAGTCTTTTTGAAAGTGTCTGATTTTAGAATAGTTATCCACCAGCATTCATCAATAAATGTATGAAAAGTGAAATTAGTAATTCGCGGAAGACAGGAGTATCAAAGAAACAGTTAGTTGTAAGCCTTAAATCCAAACGTCACACAACAACTGACATTCTTCGAAGTAGATTATCAAGAATATTTCAAAAAAGACTTTTTTACTGCATCTCTACTACTCAACCTCTTCACGTACCCTTTTGCTTGAAAAAATGTTAAAGACAGTGTACCACTGCATGCAACATCTGTGTGCATATATCAGTACACTTGCTTGTATGGAGCTGGCTACACAGGCCGTACTAGTAGGATATTGTCTGAACGCGTAGAAGCATATCTTCTAATATAGTTATGAAAAGAAAAATTAGATGAGCACCTTTTTCTTAAAAATCATCCCGCATCAGTTATGTCCTTCAAAGGGTTTCTGACTGCATTTTCTATCTACGAAAGAGGCTTTTGCTTCACACAAGAAAACTCCTAAACTGCGTTTACTACTGTGGCCTTAAACTTTTGTTAACCTTCACAATAATTTGGCATGCTAACCATATTCACTGGGTCTCTTTCTTCCCGCCACCATCCACCTCTTTTTCCCTCTCAGACTCATAACTTTAAGGTACGCTTAATGTACGTACTCAATCTCTTACTCTTAAGAGCAGTATTTATGTTTCCAAGCGCTCGTAACTTTACTGGCAATGATTTCTGAGAGATCCTCATCCCTAAATATTTCTAGTGAATACGTTTATTTCTCTATACTTTAAAATCCCAGTATCTATGGGGATATGCTTTTCATGGGATAAGTTTGCTAACCCCTCGACGAACCGCTTTCCATCACTCCTGGGATTAGGATTAACTAGTTATCCAGACAAGGCGGCATGAGTGAATATGTCAAAACCAGTCATTATTGGGTATGTAAGACAAAGGGTCCTTCCACATAAATCGGTGTAGATATCTTCAGCTATCAGGACAAAGGAAAGGATCTCAATTTCCGACACTGATGTCAATTGCATCACTACCTCTATAGGATCCAGAGACTTGGTTGATTATCAAAAGGGCAAGCAACAAAAACCTTTCACAGGGATCGAATCATCAAGGAAGAACATACTGTTCAATATATACTCAAATTGGAATGGAGATGAAATGGACAGACACTGAGGAGACGTTCAAGTGACGTTACACACCAGACTGTCGAGTAGAACTCGAGTGTGATATTTGAAGTTGGGCATCAAAACAGTCATGAAGGCGAAGTGGTGAAGAGAAGACGAAAGCTTGAGGGTAGTGGTGAGTCAGAGTGAAATCAAGAAGTGTGCAGAATGGAGACGTACTTATAAAGCCCTTTGTTTTACTCAGGTTTCCAAGAAATGAATAATATAACTTCTCAGTGAAACTGGAAAACTGAATGAAGTTAAGCCGATATTCAGCATGTCAGTAGGAAGAAAACATTTATTCTATACGATTTTAACAAACATTTTAGCATATTTTATGCCCTCCAGGCTTTGTATTTTGTTGGCAGAACTACTGTATTCTGAGCAAAGGACCTATTCAGTGTTACTTCGTGACGAAATGAAGCCTGTGCCTGTTTTTCACAAGCAGAATTAGAGAATTTCTTCTGGCTAAGGTAACGCCGTAATGTCTGAATTTTTCGTCTCAGTCACGATTACTTTGACTTTTCATCATTACATTGGTTTCTCAGCTGTCTTTCAATAGTCTGTCTTTATTTAGGTATAGTCGTAGTGTTCAACACTGCATGTGTACCAAATGAGACGTTGTCAATTTGACTTTCACATGATGTTCAGTGTTTGTCTCCTTAAACGACTCTTTTCAACGAATTTATTATCAAGCTGTACAATCGTATATATATATATATAGTTTTTAGAAAACTATATCCGGTGAGGGAACTGAATCGAAGGTGCGAATACATAAAATAATAACAGTATGAAATACATTCAGAAAATTTGTGATTGTAATCATAATTAAATGTCAAATGGCAAAACGATTATTGTCACATATATATTAATTCATGAGATATATAGATGTTAGTAGGCTACGTTACATAACATGGTGTGAAATTTAAAAAGACAGAACTCAATATTGTAAAAATAAAAAAAATTATTATTTTGGATTTAGAATGACAAGTGGGACAAGTGGAAACAATTCACAATGAGAATAGTAATAATAACCTCATTATTGAGGGAAAAGTAGATAGACTAACTAAGTAAACAAAATAAATAAAACAAATAAATGTCTACCCCTCTACGATCAAGGCAGAAGTAGGGATTGTACATACTTCTTTTATACACATAGCTCTAGCATAAGTTCACGGATGTTCAAGGCGTCCGCTGTCATTAAAAGTTTATAACGAAGAAAATGTGGCAAGCTAGCATGGATTCCATGGGTGATCTTAAAATCGTGGTCAGGATTTGTAGAGTGACAGGAGTCGTTCAAGTGTACTAGAATGGAGACAGCTTCTCACACCCTTCCTTTCTCCCTTGTAAAACTATGCTGCTGGAATATGCTCTCGTATCCATGTCGAAAGCATTCTGCAGCTACGGCCAATTTACTTTGTTCCACAACAGCAGCTGAAATGATAGATGCACATGGAGGCGGCCAGACGGGGTGGGCTTATCATTTACAAAGGTGGAGAACTACTAACAGCTGGTGAACGTCATTTGTAATTTCGCTTCAAAGAACGTTTTACTGACTTATTTAGAGAGACGATTTTTGAGCATATCTGCAGCTTGATTACCTTTGAATTCCGTGTTCATGAATAAGGTTTTCTTTGGAACTGAGTAAGTGACCAGTATAGACTGATTACCTTCCGTGTTGCTGTTAATAGGTCAGTTTGAGTAAATATGTTCTGCGAGCGTGGCTTTCCTTCTTAAGAAGGTAATGTCTAAGCCAGCGCAATCAGAACTGCAAATGTTTCTTATCCTAAAGCAGAGTGAGTTAACTAGGTTCCTTATCCTGGAGATAGGTGTCCAACTACAAGAATCACTTAACTGTCCATTCTATGTACGTTTCTGGTGGATGAATCTGCTAAGAGACCTGTCATTGTGTCTACAACTAAGGCACACATCAAGAAAAGGAATGCTTAGTTCAAATTCCGTTTCTACAGTAGATTGCAAAGTGGGATGGGAGGTCTTAAGTGCAGACGAGATATCGTCAAGAATTGCTTTCTTACAAACGAAAGTTTCATCTATTTATCTTCTATAGAAGTCAAAAAGAACGATGGTTTGATAAGTTGAAAATTTTCAAGCTCTGCCACAAAACAATCATACATATACAATTGTACAACTTGATAATAAATTCGTTGAAAAGAGTCTCTTGGCTGAATATTTTGTTCTAAATAACTGTTTACTAACTCGACTGTTTCAAATTATTCTACCAGACGACAGTTTACAACAGTGAATTATCAAGAATGCACATAATGCTTCTGTTGAATAAATACTCCAATCATTTCATAATTATTTTTTGCCCTAGAACCAAGATGAATTGCACAAAAACTGGAAATCCAGTAACATAAGTCAATGTCTTCGCTTCTAGCTTAAACCTTTACAGCAGTATGTTGTAAAGATCACACTCAGTTCAGAAACTCAGGACTATTAGGTTGCCAGAAGAACACAGGATCACATAACCCTTAAATTTGAATTCACTAGAGTCCGCACCATTCACATCTCACTCGGTGAAGTTAACAAGTGGAATATTTCCAGTGGATATCGATTTGGTTACTTTTTAGTGAGGAGTCAGTTAAAATAAGGTAGATGGGAGATAATCTGTTGAGACGTCTTCATATGTAATAATCATATTAAGAGATATAGTGTATGTGCGATCATTTAACTTAAGTGCATGCTGGATAATTAGTTCATGACAGGAGTGATTTTTCAAGAAATCATTTGACTTACTTCTCTGATATCGATTCGATTGTCATTGTTCGTATCGATAACGCTTAGTAATTCGTTGATCAATTCTCGACTATCTTCTTCCGTTAATTGCTACAGTAATAATAATAATAACAAGGTAGAAAACAGTGGATACTAACTAAAAGGGAGTGAAAAATGAGTCTGCGAAAATATTTAATTATATTTCAGTAAAAATAAAACGGAAGAGCATTAAAATTATCCGATCTTCTTTCAGCTTTAATACAGATATAATATAACTAATGTCAGCTCATGATGAAAATCCTGTAACCAATCAACGAAATCCCTACAAACCAACACTTGAAGATATAAATTAGTTTCCATCTTTTCTTTTGAACTGACTACTTAATGCAGAGGTTATTATCACATACAATTATGATACTGATGACTTCAATGTATGCTTATATTTTTGCTTCGCTATACAGCTAGAATTGTGGAAGTACAATAAAATTGTTGTTATCAATTGATCCACCACAAAGAACTTTTAATAACCATGGAGTACTGGGCCACTGAGTTCCGTCCCAGTGGTTCTATGGTTAATGGTCTCACCTTATAGCCTGAAGGTTTTGAGTTCACTCTCTTGTGGGATAATGAGTGACTACGGTTTAGGAGTCCTGAACTACCATGAAAAAAGTCGTTCACTACTCCCTGGCTATCAGTAGTACTCTGAATGATGTTGACTAGTGATCTCACCTGATACAGAATTCCTGCAAACTCATACACTATCTCTATCAGACTAACATTCAAGGATGATAAGGTGACTTAACTGACAGCTCAAAGGCTTCAGACAGCTATCAAGCCCTTATTCTACATGGTATCCCTTTTCGTAACAGTACGTAGGAAAAATGTTGATGTGCCAAGGAAATAACTAATTTTAAATCAGAAATTAACGAGAAACACAATTAGAGATCCGAACGAGGATCTTACTATGACAGCATCTGCTCACAAGCAACTGAGGAGATGATTAAAATATCTGGAGTTCTAGTGAGAAATTGCGATCAGCATAGGCCAACAACCAGGGTGTGAAGATGAATACTCAGCGATTACACGTACTGGAGGCGGTACCGAATATGTTATGAAGTTAGATACAAGTTAGGATCCATAGACTAATCAGTGGATCCCACCTTAGTATCTGGAATGTCAATGGGTTCGCTTTGTACTCTGAAGGTTCTAGATTCAAGTTCACTTAAGACTGTATCTTGGAAACACACCAGTGAGCAGTCTCAAAGGAGGACGAAACAAATGCACACTACTTTTAGGTTTCCATTGATTCCGCACCAGATTTCAGTTCACGATCTAACTTTAAACCAGTTGAATCCGTGCAAATTTTAGATATCGTATAAGCTGGCTACAGTTTTGAATACGACGGTGACCTAAACCCTTAGGTAAAGGTATCAAATATTTAGATTCTTTGAGTGGAATTATGTTCCAAATCTTGATTTCACAAGTGTTAAAATTACTCATTCACAGTTAAGGTACCTACTGAGTTCAATTTCGTTATACCCACGCATTAATCAACTCAGTCGCATAGGCCTACTAGTATTGAATTAGCACCACTATAAAGCCTGACAAATCATTGGATGAATCATTCGTGGTGTCACTTATTTTCTAGGAAGTATGTGAGTAGCACTCTTGTGTATTCCTTACTAGGAACAGCTTACATCATTTGTTCCAAAACTGCCTATATTTGAGTACTGATATATCAGGCAGCTCGATGAAAAACTTTCGTACGTAAAGTAAACCTAAAGTTAAGCTATGTCGTTCAATTCAAATGTGATGTCACTGATTTTAGTAAGAAACAAGGATGATATAATGTGAAATTCGTTAGAGTTTGGTAACAATTAGGCATCTTGTGTCAGTCGATGTTTTACTTAAATATCCAAGATTCTCTGACCAAATCACAAAGTAATTTATTAGTTATCTTGATGGCTATTTCATATTGACCTAGAATTTGACGGCTATATGAACCAGGTTAGGTGGATCACAATTCCAGCCATCCAACCACCTAAAGGAATTCAGGCGTGCTAATCAGTGTATCGAGAACAAGTGTATAAAATTCAGTAAAATTACTGTGTAGACTGTATGAAACAGCACAAAACATAATAGATGTTTCGAGTGTACTGCTTCACTATTCTGACGTTAGATTCTACTTACACCTCCAAGATCTCTTTAAATCAAATGCGGGATCTCTCAGTAGGATTAGGAGGGTTTTATTACTTTTATGGTTGTATGGGAAATTATTGGTAACTAAATGTAATTGTGTAACATCTCTAGCCAACAACTCTAACCATGATAATATGGTCCCCATACGACCAAAATCTACGGGAGGACTTGATACAGAAGAGGGGACTGAATCCCCGTCACGAGGTAAAATATTGCCAGCAAAGTCAATTAAGTCAATAGTGTTCTCTGAGCTCGTTGGTTTAGTTGCGAAGCTTTCGTCGTCCTTCTGGACAACATCTTCAGCGCCATATTTAGCACAAAGTGAAATGATTTAAATTTCTTCATGAGTGATATAATTGCGTCTCCTGGTAACTATTACATTACTATTACTCATGAAGAAATTTAAATCATTTCACTTTGTGCTAAATATGGCGCTGAAGATGTTGTCCAGAAGGACGACGAAAGCTTCGGAACTAAATTAACCAGCTCAGAGAACACTATTAATTGCAAATCATCCACCTGAGTTACAAATCTTCTCTATTATTTCAAAGTCAATTCACTGTATGGCATAATAGATTTTGTTATCTCCTAAATTATTCTTCTGCTCTCTGAAAAATTTGATATGGTTAATAGCTCATAAATGCATCCTTATTTTAAATATTACTCTGACAAATTTTAACAAAATAAACAGTATGTTTTCTGTTTGCTTCGAAATTCCGGTCAGCAGTCAATTAAACTGGAAGACATTCTAGTTTAGTTATTCAGTCACACTGAGTAATGCAAGATGAGTTTTTCTCAACGTTACAAATACGCTTTTGTGATAAGCTGTAATTAGCCTGAGAAGAAAACTTCCTGGTTATCTTACCTCGGATTTGGAAGAATCAAATATTTTAGGATTTCTAGCCTGACAGATTTTGTGTACTGACTAAACACCGAAGTAGACATGTGGTTTTGCTAAATGATCCTTTTTTTACTGGGAATCAAAATGAGAATGCTTTACCAAATAATTTTGAAAATAAAAATTTCTTCTAGTGCTACACTAACCCTACCTGAATGCTAAAAATATTGATTCGAATGACCAAGAATGTCTATAGGGTAATGAGAAACTACAGAACTTTGAGGACAATATACATATTTACTAATAGACATCAGTCAATTTCATCTTAAACTTGTGATTGTTACGTACCTAGCCAAAATCTCGTCAGACAAATGAGCTTGAAAAGTACTGATAAATGTTCAAGTTTTAGTTAACTGGTAACAGGATTTCATTGAGAGCTAACATCGGTTGGAGAACCATTGAAGTACTGGACGGCTGTCTTGTCCTAGTTTGAGAGTCCTTATCAGTACGTTCCCACTGAGATTCGAATCCAAGACCTTTTGGTCACAAGACAATCACATGGGCCATCAAAAATGACTGTTTAAGTTTGTTTTAATACGTCTCATTCTCTGATAAGTAAGTGAAATAACCACAGTGGTAATTGTAATGACATTCTAATACTAATTAAAAATAAGGATAAGTGGCCTTTCTACTACTAAAGTCGAAATTTTACAGAATCATCTCAATCTGTGTTTTCAGAGAGGAATAGCGCCACCTCCATCTTCACTTTATCCATTATTATTATATATTATTATTATTCCCTTGAGTCCCTAGTGGGACATAAGGCTTTAACTGCACATCTCCACTTGCTTCTGTCTTCTGCTGTATTTTTCACATGCATCCATGTTATTCCATACTGTTTCAACTCCTCTTCACACGACCTCCTCCAAGTCACCCTTGGACGTCCCACTCGCCGCTTCCCTTTCGGGTTCCACTCGAGCGATGGCCTGACGAGCGATGTCACCCAGCGGCCTCCTCATCGAGTGTCTAATCCATCTCCATTTTCTCCTGCATATTTGTTGAGCGATTGGTTCTTGTTTTGTTTGTTCCCATAGTATTTAGAAATTGTGTCTGAGATACAAACCCATTCTACCATCTATTTCAAACACTATACTGTTAGCACTAACACTATTATCATAATAATAATGATAATAATTATTATCATGGTAACTGCAATCTGTCTTCTCATATCTAGTCATGCCTACGTCACACTGTCGTTAATTTGTCACATTTATTTACCAGTTAAGTTGCTTAAAAATTACAACTTGACAACGTTCAGTCTTTTCAGTTGTCACAAGTTATTTGCATAGATATATCATAGTATATTATTGTGATAACATTCACCATGTGACGTTATATATATGCATATACATATATACACTTTATTCCAAAACCAGTATTTATAATACAAAATGGAATTCTCAGCATTTGTCACAATATTGCATCTGATTTACTCAAAATATAAATAAAATTTAAAATTAAAACAAAATTAACCAGAAGAATTTGTCCACGTTTACGGTACAAAGTCAAAAATATTCGTAGTACAAAATGAGAATGATAAATACAATAATAATAATAACAGTGAGTTTGTTTCACACACTATTGTCGATTCAGCTTGGAAATTTTAGCATACTATAGATTATTTAATCCAATGTTCTGTTGATACAGTTTAGTGAGGGGAAAGGCAAAATTAACAGTTATAACGCAGCTTAAATGATGTTCACACTTATGAGAAAATAAATGAAAATAAAAACGAAAAATTGGGGGGATTATATATATAAGAAGTACAATAACAATAAAGGTTGACATTGTAAGGGTAGAGGAAATGGGTTATTTAGTAGTGCAAAGAAGGTTAGTTAGTTCATGCCTAACACTATTTTCATCATATAACGTACGTGCCAAATGCGATATAATGGAATTTTTATACTTCGAAGTACGTGCATAGTCTTTTGAAATGACTTCTCGTTTTATGTGAAAAGACACAAGGTGAAGGCTGTGGTTACTGCAGTGGATGCTAACAGTCTGACGAAATTCC